GTAAATAGTTTTATGGAATCAGTTGATGTTCAAGATTTAAAAAGGTTGATCCATGTACAAGAAGTACAGCATCAAATTTAGCAGTTTACTGATCTAGATTTTTGGTGCTGGCACTTTGGGACTGGTTAATGGATGTTGTTCCTTGCTTTTCCATATATTCCTGTTTTTACAGGTGAAATAAAATTAAAGAAATGGGACTTTGTTTTCCCTGGAATATAATACAACAATACAACAAAGGAAGATAGTCATGTTCTGTGCCAAAACAGTGCTTTGGGGTCTTACTGACTGTTTTAGAATTGCCGGGCTGCTTTTTTTTTTTTTTTTTTTTTTTTTGTGTGTGTGTAACTTTTACCTTGCTGCTGCCTAATGCCCATTTACCTTCATAAAACATAGGCAGATCTAAAATCTAGATCTCAGTCCTAAACCTTACCACGTGCATCTTCCATATCAGCATCAGCTAAAGGAAATGTAATAGTAAAAAACATCATAATGCATTCAATAAGCATGTGTGTGAAACTGTCAACACTACAATTGTTTTTGCTTTGTGTGTGTGTATCTTATTTTTATTTACTATTTATGCATTTATATGAGAGCTGTGGTCCTGATTCCTTATCCGTTCCTTATTTTTCCAGAACTCCCAGTGATGTGATAAAATAAATTTATGGTAGTTTTCCCCAATCAAAGACATCAAGGCAAGACTGGACCTTATCTGTACATTTAATATATATATTTTTTTCCATTCTAAGGATGCAAAAGCATGAACTATTTCACCAAGATCTGTGACTCCAAAGATGTATTCCCTACTGCATCTCTTTCCCTGCTGTGCTCCTGATAGTACTTATATTCAGCCTTTAGACATAGCTACTTTCACTCAGTATATATGCCAGACGTATGGAGTCAGGAAAAGCTGCAGAACTGTAGTAGGAATGTGTTGACAGGAGATAATGAGACAAGAACTAACTGGAAGATAAATCTCTGACCCCACAGTGTACTCCCACACCATCACTTCTTTCCTCCATTTATACCAGGACTGCTAAACTCCCAGAAATAAAATTATTTTCTTCCATAAAACTATCCGAAAAGTAGCTTGAAAAGAAAATCTCTGGTGATAAAGACTGGTCTTTTATTGAATGGGTTGAGTAAAATGTAATAGACTTGAAAGACTATTTACATAGCTGTGGAGATAAATATGTACTCATAATTCCATGTGTATTTCTCTATCAGCTGTAGTACTTTTTTGGAACTAAACCAATTTATACTTAATTAAGGCCAATGCATCACAAAGTTCATTTGTGCTAACCAGCTTTATGCACTGAGTACCTTATATATTAAGCACAATTTTCCACTTAATATTTTGGGGTTTTAAGTAATTCTTTGACATCATACATTAGCAGAGAAATAGTGTGGAAAGAACACAAAGTTGACTAAACATCTGAAACTTTTTTTTTTTTTTTTAATGACATTATAATTTATAGGCTGAACTGTTGTTCAATTATCCCATGTTTTGAAAGCAGTTTAACACCAAAGATATCAGCGGAACTTCTAAAGAGGCTATACCTAAATCTGTCCTATCATTAAATGATAATATAAGAGAAATCCCACACTTCAGCTTACATCCATAACAGTATATGAAAAAAAGTAATCACTGCCCATAGCTAAATTCTTAGAAGATTCATTGGTTGGTTTGGTTTGGTTTTAGAAAGTAAAAGAACAAGAAGCATCCACAGTTCTGTCCTTCCAGGGGCAGACTTCAGTGTACACAACCTTGCAAATTATTCTTTACTCCTGCTAAACATTGAGCTAAAGCCTTACAATTCTAACAGAAAAATCATGGCACTGTTCCAGATAATTTCAGCTGACAGGGAAGAGAGAGCTCAAATGCTGAAGTGTTTAGGTAGATCAGGACCAGAGAGCTGTTTACTTTGCATGATCAAATTCACACTCAATAGAGAACTACTAAATTAGATTCAGTTCATTATGCTGCTAATGATCTTCTTTGGGAAAAATGTTATAGATTTACCTAATCTGAAGGAGTTGGTAGGTATTTCGCACTTTTTCAATGGAGTCACTATTATTTGTTTCTTATTTTGACTAGGAATGTGTATCCTGTTATGTTTTCTTCAGGTGATTAATTCTTTCTTAAAATAAAATACTGATGTAGTTCAACTCTGAAAATTGTATAAAAGTTTCCTTCACATATATGGGTAGCATATATATTATGGGATGTATATATAAAATAATATTGTGGATACATTTAACAATGAGTTTTAAACACATAGCATTATGCTAGTTATGCAAAATATTTTACTGGGTTTTCACTGGAATTTTATTTTTTGTTTAATACCAGATAGAACCATATCTTCATTTTGCAGAAATTATTCTTGAATCTTCAGTGAAGAATGTAAGGTTCCTTAAGGATGTCTGCTTCCTATGCCATGTTTATTATAGTTAATCATATGCAGACATAAACACACAAGGAAAAGAGATCTCCTTTTGAAATTCAGGAATAGAATGGATATGTAAATAAAGTGTATTTGATTCACATCATTGACCAAAAAATTATTTTGATCCAAACTGAAACAACAGTGAATTGACTCATAAAAAAAGCATACAAAAAGTAACATGAAACTAATCTCAGTGAAATTAAATATTCATTCAACCTTATACAAAATAATTTGTTTCTATTTTGAGCTCTTTTAACAACAGAAAAGGAAGTAAAGGTGTTTAGGAACTATTCATAATACTGTACATATCCATAGCATCTTTTAGCTCATAATTAGTTAAGGCCATTCATCTTCAGTACTGGAGAGCCATATTCATCTCTGCATGTAGGTGGTATCTGCATCTCTCATACAGTTGTATGCTACTTTACTTTGGCTATCCTGGCCTTCTTTGCTGGCATAGTTATGCTGGATTTTTCCCTCTCTTGTCGGAACAGAATGAGAAGGACAAAAGAAGCTGTCCACAGGACAGTACTTAAGTTACTAATGCTAACAGGAAAAAGCTTAGTGATCTCAGCTGTAATGAGAATCTGGAGGAGAAAGATCAAAATTTGGTTCTAATCCTTATCCGCTCCTGAATTTGGGATCAATGATTACTTAGCAAGCAACTCACAGAACTAGTTTTTCTTGTGAGTGATCATTAAAAAATAAAATAAAAAATTTTCAACATACTTTCCTTTTCTTAGAAAACAAGCCACCTTTTGATCAATTTTAGTTTAAAGTATGGATATTTTGATTACCTATGCAAAGTGTTAAGCATCGTTTTCAAAAAAGATTCAAAACCTAGTTCTCTTTTCTCCTTGACGTATAGCTTATTTGGTTATATTCTGCCATGTTCTGTTTGATTCATGTTCTATGAATCTTGAATTCCTTTCTGTAGAAAAATACAACTTCAATAAGAAGGGTGAAAATGTCCTGCAACATCCCATATCCTGGTGATAGAAAAACTTCCTTGAATAAGAAGGTATTTGAGGGTTTAAATCCCTCAAGATGAGATTTGCATTCTGCCCCAATCTTCATGGATTCATTTAGTTGTCTTTAAGTAAAAGATATGAAAAATACATCATTGTAAATACATCTATGCTGTTTTTAACCCAATGAGCACCAAGCATTTGAGGTTTCAGGAGACCTGTAGTCAGAAATGCTAACTGCCAGAATTCACAGAGGTATGATATTAGCATTCAGACACTCTGCTAAGAGATTTTTTTTCAGGAAAAATGTAGGTACCAGATTATTGAAAGGTTAGATAAATCAGAGCATCTTTGGCAGGTGTCCTCCATGAGAATTCATGGCCGAGTGTGTCCTAAAACCCATTCTTAATATTTTATAACAATTTTTGGCTCATTTTCATTCAAGTACCAGTACTGGCTGAAGTTCAGATTGATTCTTTTTTTATTCCCAACTTCCTGACAGCCCTTGAATACAGACTACATTTTATGTAAATGGCTCAGTACCCACTGATCGAATGATCAGCTTTGGCTCAAGCTCTTGCTTTTCTTTATAAACATACTTTCCATACCAGAGAGAAAAAAACAATATAAAATCTGTAAGTGGATATGCAAATAAATGTCAAATGTATTAGAAGAGAATATGTAAGTATTTCAAACCCTTGATTCTCAGTCCACAGAACAAAGAATTCTTCATAGTATTTTCAGTACACATTTTTGTAATTATTACATTTTATAACCTAGGACAATTAGAAAAGTTAGTCTTTTGTCTTCTCTTTGATAGATCAGTCATACACTGTAAGAGTAAGATAATGTTTCCGTTTCGGAGGATGACCCTAAGGTTAATTTTTCACCTTTATTTCATATCTAGCATTTCAACAGTACAAACACATACTTTATTTTCCTAGTTTTATTCTACTTTGAAAACAAAATGTTTTAACCTATTTTGTAAATATTTCTTAAACTGAAAAGAGAAAAGAAACCTTCTTTTAATATTTCTTGCTAGTAGGTTGGAACTCAGTCTATTTTAAAAAAAAAGGGGGGGGGGAGGGAAGAAAAAAAATATATATATATATGTTCAGCTGTGTTTTAGATTTTCATGAAAATGGCCAAATGATTTCTACAGCTTCTCGTCATTGTCTCATTTAGAAGAATTCAGTCTCTGAATGATCTATTTAGCCAGAACTGTTCCTGTTGTTAAATATGATTTGTTTGTTATTCTCCTTTACATAATTATATAGTAAACTAATCAATCAGCATTTACATTTGCCTCTGACAAAGTTAGCTATTAAAAAAATCATATTATAAAAGACAGACAGAAATGAAAAATGTTTGTCATGACTTTGCCATACAATAAAATTAATGTAGCTTTCTTACAGCTTCATATTAGAAAGCTAAAGTTGTTTATCTAAAGCAAACATTATTTCATCACATTCAATATTTTCTTTCCCCTTCAAGATGCTAAGGACACTTCCTGGGGTAAATTATCAACTGTTAGTTTAGGTCTGCCTAGTTGCTGTTGATTATTAAATTGATGTTTGTACTTTTCTAGATGTGCCATCAAATCCTTATGGAGTACGGATTTTAGAGTTGTCACAAACCACTGCCAAAGTTTCATTCAATAAGCCAGATTCACATGGAGGTGTGCCCATTCATCATTACCAAGTGGATGTAAAAGAGGTAGCCTCAGAAACCTGGAAGATAGTTCGCTCCCATGGAGTTCAAAGTAAGTCTACAAAAAAATAAATTGAAGTATTTTAATTGAACGAATATCAAAGAAAAAGAATTCAAGTGTGTGTTAATTGATCCTTTGTTTCTCCATTATTCCATTTCTCCATACATAGTCCAGTGATTGTATCTTCAGTTGATGTTAATAAAATCAGACCTCCTAGCACCAGTCAGAACCTTGCTCTGATCTAATGTCAACAGTTAATTTCTAGTTTTACATAATTTTGATGAACAAATTTATGATTATTTCACATTTTTTCATTTTCATGTCAAGTAGAGACAAAGAATATATTTGAAGCTATAAATTTCAAAGATAGTAGAAGTCACAGAGGAGTTAGTTTGAGAATATGCATTACATACGCAATTAACTTAAAATTTTGAGTAAGCTATTACGTGATATTTTATCCTAGGGATTAACTACTGATTTTTAACAACTTAGCAATTTTTCTACATTTCTACGTCTTTGTTATATCTGTTTCAAAAGCATATCTATAAAGTACTGTTCAACAAGTGATGCATTGTATACATTTGTTGGATATTATATTGTTTTCTATCTATTGTATTGGTGGGGATGTTATAAATGTGTCCAGTTCATTCCCAGGTCTATGCCGTCTTTTCACTTTTCTAAAGGCAGAAAATAGTATAAGCCTCCTAGAATAGACAAGTTATTTGTACATGCCCAAGGAGGGTATTTAGAAAGATTAATATTAACGAAATACTTTTACCGGATGAGTAATCCCCTGCATATTTACCCTCCAGTGTTTTTAACAGGTAGTGCAAGCTAAAGCAGCCCCAACGGTCTTATGATGTATACAGCTAGAGATGAATTGTTTTGCAGCTATCACCACTGTGAGGGGAGAATAAGTGTAGGATATGATCTAAAGTGATGATGATAAAAAATGATAAAAAATGATAAATGATAAAAAACTTCTTTCTCTTTCACATCCCATCATTCACACACAAAAAAATCTCCAATTACAAAAAAAAAAAAAAATATTTCAAAAAAACGTACATATAATTAACAAATATTCAAAGAAACATGACTTTTTATTTTAAAAATGTGTATTGTTTTTCTTAACAATACACAATAAATATTATTATAAAGGTAATAACTAAATCACTAATTTAGCACTAATTTTAGTTCAGTATAATGTGTATTTTTCAGTACTAGAAGACCAAAAGAAGACAATGTGTTTCCCCTAATGGCAGGACATGTATTAATGGATATTGGTGTACCTCTTCCCTTTTAATGTTATGTTTTGGACCACATTTGAGACTTGTTTTCCCTTAGCTGTTTTCTTCAATGAATTGGCAATATATTTCTCTGATAATATATATATATATGTATACTTTATATTTCTCTGAATTTATCTATGAACTACTGTGATAGAAAAGTTACTTCAGAATTTATTTGCGAAGCAGGAGGCATCTTTTGTAAAATTTGTTGATTCTACACTACATAATTTGATAGGGAAATCAAAAGGGATCAAAAAGGCATTTATCAGAAGCTCTTGCAGATATTCCATAATAAGTTAAAATTTTGTTCTATTTGTATCATACTATATGGCCAAAACAGAAAATAAATAGATAGATAGATAGATAGATAGATAGATAGATAGATAGATAAAAGATTAATTGCCAAAGCAAGGACTGAACAGCCCAGAGTAGAAAAGGTCCTCCAAGATGGAGACAGCAAAAAACAGTACTAATGTATTTTTTATGACAATACTGTTAACTGTAACAGGAGTCTTTCTGAAAAAAATCATCCTTTTCCTGTTTCCTGAGAGGGTTTCAGCAGGTCTTCTAAAACATCCACTTAAACCTCTCTTCATTCTTTTTGGGCATATTTACATTTTTATGCTAGGTGACACTGAGAACTCTTCTGAATCCCTATTTTCAGTTCACAAAAGCATTTATAATGAAGCTTTTATTAGAGTGAAGGCTTTTAATTTTTTTCTTTATCCTTCCTTAAGACACTAAAGATACTTGTAAGTCTATTGAATGATAAAAAATGTTACATGCTTTAGAGGCAGTTTCTCATTGTGCTTAAGTAGCTAAGGACCACTTTCCTGCAATACCTCAATACCTGCTTGGCTGAGTGAGGTTTGAGGTTTGAGTTTAGACTACATGTAGTTAGTACTACTCTGTGTTACAATTTGTAGTTCAGTCATCATAATTTCTATACTTGGTCAATATTCTTTAATGGAAACAAAATCACTGTTTTTGTCTGTTCAAATTTTTGAGACAGGTTTATGGTTAAGATTCAGATATAAGCACTTTTACACAGGTATAGTTAACTGCTTGCATAAGTCGAGTAATGATGCATATATAATGTATGACTCATTATTTTTTTCCTAGCAACCTGTGATAAACCATGCTGCAATTTCACAGGATTGCTTTTGCTCAGATTGATTTAACTCAGGAGCAATAAAACAGTACTGCAGCCCTTTCTTGCCACAGTGTAGGTAATGTGTAAATTCCAAGATTGTCTTTAATGGGGAAAGGCAGAAGATCATACATGCTGGAGAAAGTAGTGCCTGAAAGACTGTTAGTCTTCCAATACAGAGACTGTCAAGGCTGAAGTGGGTCTTCTGGTCCCCCTGTGTTGTGACCAGGTGGAATGTTGTAGTTGTCTTCATACAGTCAATAAAGAATAGCTATAAACTGATAAAATGAACAAAAGATATATTTTTAAATGAAACAAACATCATGGCTACAGAAGTTAGTTTATAAATAAAGTGTTAGCAAATGATTGATGTTTCAAAAAGTTTTTGAAAGGAACTGCTACTAACACTAACAAGTAATTAATTTTCTCATAATTATGACCTAATAGCCATGTATAAAGCCTTCTAGAAGTAGGATTATAACTGTTTTTATTTATATGAAAAATCCTAACTGAAGCTGTTAGGCCTTCTTGCAAGTTTAATTAGGAAAATTAAGCAATATGAAATGAATTCTGTACAAATCTGTTCAAATAGCTTGCAATTTGTTTCATCTGAGATGCTTGTTGCCCATTTCTTCAAAGTATCCCTCAGAAGTTGGCTTTTTTCTCAAATTGTACTAGTTTGAAATGTTTTCTGATCAAATTAAGGAGAAAATTCCAGAGTCCTAGAGCTGTATCCAAGAATATCTGCTTCCCTATTCTCTCTCCTTTGTCTTTTATAATGAAGATTTCATTTGAAAAGCTGCACTGATTGCAGCTATTGAAGGAGAGCACAAAAAGTGAAGCAATCATTCTGATACGCAAACTTCAGGCTATTTAGGGATTTAAAAGTCATAATCAACACTAGCATAGTTCGCCAAGAGATCAGCGAGCAAATGGTAGACAGATTTTTCTGTTCTTACTAGATGCTCTGCTGAATATGAAAATTGTCTTGTTACAAGTACGCTTCAGCCCTATAGTCCCAGGGTATGGTCCATGGGGCAGGGCTCTGGAGGCTTCCACGGGTGGCCATGCAAGGTCTGCAGGCGGGCCCTGTCCCACCACCCCACCAGCTGCAGAGCCACCCAGCACCCCATGAGTCAGCCCCAGCACCTGGCACTGGGCACCGGGAGCTCCCTGATACCAGGGCTGGGCCTTGGCTAGGCCAAGCCAGTCTGTGGGTCCATATGTGGGCCTGGATGGTTTGGCCCATGGCTGGGCAGGGCACGGCTGCGGGGGGAGATGGAGCCTGGCCCACCAGTGGCCTGAGCCTGGGAAGGGTGGGGAGGCCCATATGTATATGACTGAGTATATGACTTATGAAAATGTGGTAGGTTTTTTTTTTTGTTGTTGTTTGTTTGTTTGTTGTACATACAGCTCAGGTTTTTGGGTAATGCTAGTGAACTTCAGTTTTTGTCTTCAAGCAAGACTTTTTGATAGTCTTCAGATGAGCAGACATTCTTTCAAAAGACTTCACACTTTCAAAAACTCACACTGTATGATTTTCTATTTCTATTCTTTTTTATGAGATTTCAGAAACACAAATAAGAAATTCTTATGTTAAAATATAACAATTACTTCTTATTGCCATGGAGAGGAAATCTAATATATAGCTTAATTACCATTCTCATGTACTACATCTTACACTGTAGGTTTTATACTATACCCTTCATTGTACTAATGAATGAAATTGGACCCAGTTTCTTATTAAGGACTTTCTGGTAGTGTAACAATGCTTCACCATTAAACTAGGAAGAATGTCAAATGGACATCTGAGAGATAAGAATAAATTAATAATTTTATTAATGGGCCCAATGACTACGTAGAGTATGGCAGCCTAGTTTGTAGATCAAACAAATAAATTGCAAATATTTTGGTAGGGTTAGTCAGCATCCAAAATTGCTTTAATAGTTAAAAATCTTCAAGACATTAGCATTTAGTGCAAGCAGCAAAAGCAGAAGGAAAAAATGCTCATTAGCCTCTTACAGTGGGAACATATATTTTTAGTAAGTATTTGAGACACTCAATTCCTTGGCATTGCTGTCAGGTTTGGCTCTCTATGACGAGAATTTTCATCACATTCAATTCTAAAATGACACTTTCTATTCCTAAGGAGTGTTTCTACATTTCTGGAATATCACGTGTGTACTCCAGAAATTTAGAAGTACATGACGTCTTAGAGATTTTTGTACATTTTAAATAATGTCATAAGTTATAAGGAAAACATTTCTGGGTTGTGAATTCATCTTTACAATCTGGTTCTCCATTTATCTGACCTGCAGGTAAGCACTCTAAGACCAAAAATTGGATGAAAAAAAAAAAAAAAAGCAAACCACCAGAATGTGTTGTAATTTTATACCGAACTTGTACCACAGCAAATGATATGCAATATGGAGAATCTTAAAATTTTACATTGATTATAATACTGTTAAATTGACTTGAATGAGTGGTTTAATTTAAGAAATTGTCTGTAATCAATAGGCAATAATTTATTGCAGTAAAAATAAATTGCATAAACTATAAAAAAGGATCATTCCCTGTATCAGATATGATACTATTGCTGGGATTCATGGGAT